CAAAGCTACACATGAATACGGAGTGCAGATACAGATGGATGATGCATGCCAGAATGTGGCTAATGGAGGAGTGTCAGAGATATAGGAAGAGAAACTGGTGCAGTAATGAAAAATATAATATGCCTGAGTAAACAAATCCACCAAAGGTGAAGAAAGGTCTGAGCAAGTCCCCAAGAAAGACATGTGACTGAGAAGCATATTCAGGATGGGGATAAAGACTGTCCAAATCCAAATCACTGAAACCATGATAGGCCAATCAATTTGTTATGTTTGTTGCATGAAATTGGTCAATTCCAGATGGACCAGAGCCATTACTTCCTGGGCCATTAATTGTGGTTCTGACCTGTTGGATGCAGTCAGAAATTATACTACAGCAGTTGTGGTCATGACCACCTAAAACTGTGAGTTTATAACTCATAAAATTGAAAGAAGAGATAAGATAAATAAAATAATTTGTATCTCTCCACAAAATAAAAGAAAATGGTAAAGAACAATGTAATTAAAGTAGAGAAATTAAGAAAGTAAAATCTTGTGGATAAGTGAATCAATCTGCAAGCAAAAATACATCTATTCAATAAGACTGCCAATCGAGAAGTGGTTAACAGCTGCAAGATTAGAGAGGGTGCTAGTTAGGACAGGGGTAATGTCACACTCCTATTGATGGAGAATTGCTGCATAATCATTTGCATGTTAGTATGCAGAAATAAGTGGGAGTATCAAGGCTACTGGCGAGCAAAAATTTGCACCAATAGAAGGCAGTATAAGTTGAGAAAGCTTTTTGTGTGAGGAGGTAAGATATTGTATCAGAATTTTCTTTTTTAAAATCCAAATTTGAGAGACTCAATAAGGCTTTGGGAAGAATATGAGAAACCTCCAGGAAGATTCCATTATGAGAATATGGAGATAAGTATTGGTAACATCAAATTTAGTCATCCGGAGCTCTGACACAAAGTGCCATCGTTGGTTGAGAAAGGATCTAAAATTGGTTGAGTCGAGACAGATCGATAATTTGATGCCAATCTCCTGTCTTCCTGAGTACAATGATTAAATGGGAATAAAATCCCAGAAGAACTGGATCAACCCTCTCTACTTCCCTTTTGACTAATAACTCTCTTATAGCCTGGGAAGAAAGCTCCACTCATTGTGAATATGTTACATGTGACAAGACAACAGGTTGTGCAGATAAAGGTGATATAAATTGAACGACCAACCCTAAATCCAGAGCATGGAATACCCATAGATGGTAAAATTGAATATCACATAAAAAGAAAGAACTCCATATGTTCAGAAAGTGATGTAAACATGGTCTCACTGCTCCCCTGTTCACAGGATAGACACCAACGCTGTCTGAATGGAAAAATCCTCAAGAACATGGACAGACTCTATTATGGGAACCGAAGGAGGGGGCGGGGTCGGAAAAAACTATGAGCCGACACTCCCAAATTAGCACCAGAAAGGCGAGAAGTCAGCAATGATAAAGAAGAATGTAAATGAGCTGAATCAAATCTCGTTTCTAATATCTCTGAAACTCCAGCAAACAATGTGGGACAGAGAAAAGGAGTTTCCTGTAACTCCCTGAGGGTAGGAGACAGTAAATGAACATTTTTTTTAAACAAAGAATTTGAACCCAATAAATCCCAACAACAAACCAGCCAGGAAACCAGAGAAAGAACTGAAGAAGACAATCTGACAATCAATAAAATCCCCAACTTGTCCTCAAACTGCCGAGGAGAACATTGATATGCTTTCAGCAAAAGTTAGATCAAAGATAAATACCTCAGGACAGTAATGAGAGTAAGACGAATCTAAAAAACTGTGATCTGTTTAAAGTGATCACAGGTTCCAATTGAGACCCCCACAGGTCCTCTTCCTGGTGGTGATAAGCCAGAGGATACTGTTCTGATAAACGTGGGGCACAAGGCATAGCTATCCTGTCACGTAACTGAGTGGCAAATCTCACAGCATGAACAGCAATATCAGGAGAAAGAGGAAAAACCAAGTAGTCACTTGCCATCTTTGCTGCCAACAAGGAAGGTGTAGAGTCATATGCAACAGGAGAGACCCTCAAAACCTCACAAACCTCAGTAACCAACTGAAGAAAAGGGGATGGAGGTGGCTCATCAAAATGATCCTCTGTTGAGGCTGACCTAGTAAAAGAAGGAGCCAGAAAAAGCGAGTCTAAATTCTCTTTTTTGTGAAAGTAATCTATAAATATACAAAGATATAACCATAGTAATGCAAACCACATTCAAAGTCGCAACATAAATTGTGAATAATCACAACACTCCTGTTTATAGAAACCCGTGCTGAATGCTTTGTTGAGAAAAACTGATTACATTATCAGAATGAGGTGCTTATATACAGTACCTAGATAGAGGGTGCATTGAAGTTGGTGGAGAATTTTGCAAATTAGAATTTGCCAAGGGCATTCGAGTGGGGTATAAAAGGCTGGAGCAAGCATTTTCAATGCTTAGATGGGCAAAGAGTGGAAAACCTGGTAACCAAGAAATAGCTATAGTGTCAGCAGAGGTAAGTATCTTTTGGAAATATGTATAGAGCCATGAATATAATATGACTAAGACTGAAAATTCTCAGTACTTGTGTCAAGTGAGAAAGTACAAAAGCAAATAAGATAGCAGATTTCTCAAAAATCTATTTTGAATTGCTCTATTGCTGCTACATGTAAAATCAATTCATGGTATGGAGATTGGATACATTACTGACCCTTTTTTAATTATTTCTTTTATTCTACATATTTAGCAAGGAATAAAACAAATCCAAATTAAAAACAATTTTCATAACAGCAACCTTAATCCCTTAAAAAAGTATTAAAAAACATCAATTGATAATACCTATGCATGATTCTTCTAATTAGTGAAATACAATATCATTGTAAACTGAAGATGATATTAAAAATATTATACTACAGGTATAATTTATTATGATAAAGAGCAACTGTCTGAGCTATGGTTTGAACAAGAGTTCAAATTCACAGGTTTAAACTAAGACATTAGTTCATAGATGACAACTAACAAAAATGATGGTCTACTTTCCGAAAGTACTCAGCTATCATATTTTTTATCTGGATATTTAATGTAGCTTCACCGACCCTGTGATAAAAAGTCTTAACTCAGTGAAATGTTAAAATTGTTAATATAAGTCTATTTTATTATTACATACAATGGCCTGGACTATACGTTGATTGATATAGCAATGAGTATAACTCCTATACATTGATTGATATAGCAATGAGTATAACTCTCACTGGGGTTAATTTTTTCTGCATTCTGAGATTATTACAAGTAACCTTTCAATAATGGCTTGTGTGTGTATGTCAAATTGCAACTTTCTGGTTGTTCTCAGTACTTTTGCATCAGGTAAAACTATCTGGATTTAAATACAATTTCAGTAAATAAAGAATATCTATCCGTGTGGCAAAAATTAGCTTAATAATGAAATTATTTTTCTATGGCAGCATAAGTATACAATAAATATCAAAGTTTAATTAACTATATATATATATATTAGGTCGTCAAGAAATTAATGTTGCTTTTTTTTTGATGAACAACTTGTATATCAAGACAAAACATTTATTAAATGAAATAGTCTCCATTCTTATACATGATG